ATTATGCTGAGTCAGGCTTGATTTTTAGTAATCTTTTCCTGTTAAATAAATTAATCAAATCAAATCAACCCACAGCAAATCTTCTTGACCAGCATGTAAATGGTCTTAAACTGAACTGTAATCTAATTCTGGTTTAGATTTTTGCCAAAAAGTCAACTTCCAAATACCAAGAAACACTTTTTAACAAGTGGGTAACAGAAATATTCTCATGTGACATTACTGCCTGTTTTCATTTTGCTGCTCATCTATGACAAAGAGCTCATTTCACAAAAGTCAGATTTCTAAATTCAGGATCTCAGCTGTAAGCTGAGCTTGAACAAGCCTTCAACTTGTCAACAGCTGTAATCTGTTGCTCTAACACCAAGCCACACTCAATTAAGACYGTTCATTCAAGCAGCTGTAAATGGTTTAGGATTAATGCACATTCACAYTTCGTTTACTAGGCCCATCAGGTGGATCACAGATTTCCTGATCAGGCATGCGCAGTAAAGCCGGGTACAAACCGGACATGTTTTGAGCAGCCAAAGCAGCCAGTTTACATGCAGTCTATTGTGGACACACATCTAGGAACAGCGCGGCGCGTTTTGCCAGTTTAGCACGGCACGCAAGGTAGCGGTTGGATGCAGCAGAGCATTTTCCATGCATGCGGAGCYTCCAAAGCAGCCGCTGCTCAAGTTAAAAAATTGAACTTTTACTGTACGACGCGCCGCAGTGAGAATCATTTTTCCACGTGATGGTTTCCTGAACCCAAAACACATGGACAGAGGAGCTCTTTAGATGAAATGGATTGTCTGTAGTTTATGTTCTGGCTGGAGATATCAGCACCGATGTGGGTCAGCAGRTCATTAAACTGACTGCGGTGTTAAACTGGACTCGGGACATAAAAATAYTTTGTCAGTTCGCAGCTCCTGTGAGTGGCGACACTAACCAAACAAASCGCCTCTAAATTATCTGGTGAATTAATTATTTGCTGTGCGCAATGTTTGCTTGTTCTTAATAAATAAAGCAAAGCCATTTTCTTTATTTTATCTTTATTTCATCCACCAAAGACAGACTGGAAAAAAAACAAGATGCTCCTCCCTCTTCAGACGTGCGTCTAGTCTCTGTCCCAGTCTGAACGTAGTGCATCCAACTTGAGGRGTTGGGTGCATTTTTTTCTGCTCAAAATGCYTTCAWTGTGAACGTAGCATAAGACACGTGAGTCTCACTTCTTCCAGCAGTTTAATGGTTAATTATTTGTTTGTTTGTTTCACTTTATTCATTTCATTTGTAAACACAAATTAACAAAGTATAAAAAACATGCAGTCATAATAAAATCAAATAAAATGAAAGGCAGCAGAAGAATAAATCTTATATCTGCCCCTTTTTAATACCCAAAATATGTTCAAAAGAAAAGTAAAAATACAACAAAAATCAAAACAACTTAAAAC